GGCAAGTGGGATCAAGCCATGAATAGATTTAGATTTGATTGAAATTGATTTGGTCCTCTAATGGGCTTAATGGGTCGATTTCGACCCATTAAGACTTGGGTTGACCAAGTCAACAGTTGGCCTGGTCAACTCGAGCCATTGGGCTCAGGTCTAGACAAAATCGAGGTCAATATAGGTATAAATCTTAAACCCTAGCTTGGCCCTAAGTGGTGTGACCTTAGGTCATGTTAGTGTACTAGTTATTATATGGATATCACACTTGGATAGCCCTATTCTCCTTGAAGTTGTGGCGATTGAGATCGTCTCATTGGTTTATTATGGAGGAAAGAATGATGATTTGAATCCTTTAGGTTGAACCAACATGCTAACAAATTATATATAATTTCAACATGGCATGTGGTTAGGGATATAATTGTGACTATCCATTTGATTGTGAGGCACAATCCGATGGCTTTAAATAAATCTTAACATATTTGTAGGGATTTTATTTAGATTTTTGCTCAAAGCTCATTTGTGAATCAAATTTGATGAAATTTTAACCCTAGAGGGAAGTATGCACGTAGAATCAAGAAAAAATGGTTTAATGTAATTATCTTGCATATTTTAATTTTAAAAAATTAATTAGCCATCTACTTTAATTATTAGTTAAAATACCTAAATATTTCCTCAAATTATGAAACTTTTTGGATATGAGCATACAAAAAAGTTGGATTAATTAATTTTGATTGGTTTGCATGCTAGGTATTTTTCATTATGAAAATTGCTACTAATAAATCAAGTTCAATGCTCATTGATTGCTTATGATGTCATTCAATTTTGATAAGTCATAGGCATGCATGCTATTAAACGCCCCTAAATTTTTTCTATAATTTATGGGGTTGATTTTATATTTTTAGTAATTAAAATATTCTTTATTTAATATATTAAATATAGGAAGAAAATCCAAATTTGGGAGCTTCGTTCTATAGGTCATTAGCATTCTGTTGACTTACCCTAACTTTTTAGAATTATTTAAGTTAATTTCCAAATTTTATAATTAAAATAATTATTTTTAAAACCATTTAAGAGAGAAAATTAGTTAAAATAGCTTGGGAAATCTGGTAGGTTCAAAATAAATAATTTGAATTATTAATGCATTTACAGATGTTTCCCATCACGACTTTCTTTTATTTCAAATTTTCTCTCCACAATACCTATTTTCGAAATTTCTAAAATATAGGTT